AATGACAACGACAATGAGGACGACAACAACGCCAACGACAATGAAAATAATAATGGCAAAAAACAATGACAACTAAAACGACAACGACATCGCCAATGAAAACAACAGTGACATGACAACGAAAACGACACCGAAAATGACAACGACAATGAAAATAACAACGACAACAACAACGACCATGACAACAACAACGAAAACGACAACGACAACGACAACGATAACGACAATGACAATGACAACAACAACGATAATGAGAACGACAAGGACAAGGACAAGGACAAGGACAACAAAAATGGAAACATAAATGGAAACGACAATGACAATGACAACGACAATAACAACGACAACAACTGTAACACCCTGAATTCAATTAAATTATTTAATTGAAGTTAACTGCATTTTATGTTATTATTTGAGCAATTTAATATGCCTTTTATTATTATTTGGTGAATATATGTGCTATATGGCATTAATGGGTATGTTTGTGGGAGTTAAGAAAAGTGGTAGAAATGAATTAGAATATTTAATTAATTTTAAAATGAGTAGAAATATAGAATAATAAATAAAATAATATAAATAGTGATATTTTGGTATAAATTAGAGTTTTTAGAAGAAAAAAATAAGGAAAATTAGAGACGAGAGTCGTAAAAGTGGAATAACCAAAATAGTGAAATTATGTTTTAAATTAAAAAGAAAAGTGTGAGGGTTGAGGGAGTTTACTGATACGTAGAAATTCCATTGAAGAAAAAGAGGCAAGAGGCAAAGTGAAAAAAAGGAATAACAAGGGCTTGGGAAAGAAGATCACCATAGATAGAGCTTGAGTAATGGTTGGAAATTCAGATAGGGGGTAAGGATGGAAATGAGCAAGAATTGGATGGAGTACTATAGTATCCATCCCCAAACTCGCAGTTAAAAAAAAATTCTCGTACCCGATTCCATACCTGTGTGGACACCAATATTTATACCCGTATATGTACCCTATGGGTACATAAGTAACCATACGCATAGCCATTTATCCGCATTTCTAATAAAAAATAATCGATCAATCATAATTTATCATTTCATTTTAAAATAAACAAATATTTATATTAACATGTGTACATAATAATGAAAATAAAAAATATAAATATATATTATGCATGTATAGGGCGGGCTGGGTACTAAGATACCCGTACCCGCACTCATACCATGAGGCAGGCCTTTAGCTGCTTTCTCGTCAGGTCTGGGAGCCTTGTGCCAATCTTCACGCTCCTTTCGGGGTCTTCACCAAGAGTAACGAGCTCGAAGTCTCCATCTGGAATGAGGCGCAAAGGATGAGGTGGCTTCCCATTGCCGACAATTGTTGAAGTTGCATATTCTGGTGCTTCGCCCTGCTCTTGCTTATTAGGGAAGCAAGTGTCGAGGTCCACAGAATTGATGCGGGGAAGCGACTTCTACTCCTCTGACCGGGGTGGCTTGTTGGCGTTCTTGGGCAGAATGTTGATTGAGTTGAGCCCCTTGGTGGCCACTTCGAAACACCTTATGTCCGCTTTGATGTCTCCGTGGAGGGTGACGACCCGACCCCGGGTCGTGTAGTACTTCATCTTCAGGTGCACGGTGGAAGACACCATGGTCAACTCGGCCAGGGTCGGCCTTACCAGAATGCATTGGTACATAGAGGGACATTCTATCACCAAGAAACGGACCTTGATCTGCCTTTGTCTCTTCGGATCTGAAAGTGACGAGCAGTTCCATGTAGCCCCACGACCTTGTGGTGGTGTCGTTGAAGCCCTGCAAGTCGGAGCCGACATACGGTGTCAGATGGCTCTCGTCGAGTTGGAGGGTGGTGAACAGGTGGGTGTACATTATGTCCACATAGCTCCCTTAGTCGACGAGAATACGGCGGACGTCGAAGTTCACCATCTGGGCTCTGATCAAAAGAGGGATGCTGGAATTGGGGGCGCCACTAAGTAGCTCTTCAAGGTAGAAAGTGATCGGGTTTGAGTTACCCTTGAACCTATCGAGGGCGGCGTTCTGCTTCGAGCTCTTGTCGATTAGCTCGTCAAACTTCCTCTTGACCGACCCTACTGAGAGCTTGTTGGGACCCCCGCCGGATATGGCCATCGCGGCTGGGAAGTCCTCCCAAAGGCTGCGAGCTGTCGGCTTCGTAGGGAAGATAGAAGTCCTCCGGTCGAGAGACACACAGAGTAACCTGTAGCCCGACCTCGTCTTCGGGTGGCGTCGCTTCCTCGACCTTCTTCGCCTTGCGGGTCTCTTGTTGAGGAGCATCGTTCCTCCTAATGTACCACTTCAGGTGCCCTTCCTTGATCAAGATTTCGATGACATCCTTGAGATGAATGAAATCTTCTGTGACGTGTCTGTGACTCTTGTTGAACCGGCAGTACTTGGATTTGTCGACGTTGGGTTTGAGGGCGTCGGCTTCAGAAAGCGAACCCCACCTCTTTGGAACTCCGAGTTGATGCACTCATCTAGGATGCACTCGCGGGGAGCGGTGAGTAGCGTATGCTCGGTGAAACGAACTGCTGGTCCCCGGTGTTATCGGGAGTCGCGGGGTGGGTCTTCTCTTCTTTTGTCTCTGCCACGTCGGGGAGCGACAGACTCTTCGTGCTTGTAGACTTTGGTACCTTCCAAATTCTGCTAGTTGCGAGCACCATTGGCGACCTCCTTCTCCTCATATTGGATGTAGGAGAGGCCCTTGTGAAGGTGTTCGTCTAGTGTGTTGGGTCTCTCGATACCAACAGCCTCGGCAAAATCGTTGCGGGGTCGCAGCCCTCGCTCGATTAAGTATCTCTTCATGTTGTCTATCGTGGATACCTGGACGGCTTCTCGATTGAATCTCTCTATGTAGTCCCTGAGAGATTCATCCTTCCCCTGAATGATAGCCTTCAGGGATGCCTCCGTCTTCGGATCGCCGAGAGGCGGTGAAGTGCCTCAAGAACTGTCTCTTTAGATCTTTCCAGAAAGTGATGGATTTGGGCTCGAGGTTCTTGTACCATATCATCGCACCCATCTTCAAGGTTGTCGGGAAGAGCCAATATTTTATGGCTCCTCGGACGTTGTGGTAGTCGAGCATTGCGTATATGCTCTCAATGTGGTCGTCCGGGTCGGTCGTACCATCGTAGGTTGCCAGACTCGACGGTTTCTCCATCCCGACAGGGAGGCAAGTCTCCATGATGGCCCTAGATAGCAGAGTATGGGGGTCATCCTCGTCGCTTCTGATGGGTAATTGTGAGGTGGAAAGGTTATACTGAGGGCTCCTTCCGCGGCGTGGAAGGTTTCTTGGTCGAGTCTTCGGCGTCTCCATCTGCCCATCAACTTTGTTTCTCTTGGGAGCCGGGGAGCGTCACTCCTTTCGGGAAGGACTGTGGTCGCGCTTCTGGGTCATTATAAGCTGAGGCCTCTTTAGCCGCGGGCGACGTCCATGTTGTCGCGGTGAGAGGCTTCGAGATTCGTCCTGTTGATGTCTCCGTGGGGGAGAAAGGGGATGTGCTTCTCACCGTCTCGGGGATGAGCTGCGAGAAACAGGGCACCTATGGCCCCGCGGGGGATAGCGTGATTGTCGCTCCTTTTCCAGCATTCTGATCCGTTCGTTCTATTGGAACATCATCAAGTTCGTCTAGTTGAATAAAGCCACCATGGTCGGATCAGAGTTGGGCGACACGGGAATTGGCTAAAAAACAGCAGGACTGTCGAACCGTTGGGTGGCGTTATTGGCCGCATAGTTTGAGGAAGGAGAGGCAGTGCACCCGTCCCTGAGGTCACCTTCCCCGACTGGGACGGCCATGTTGGGATCATGGTCGTCGCCGTTGGTGAAGGTGGTGAAAGCGGTTTCGTAGAGGTAATCGTCAACGCGAGGACTAGCCATGATCTATGGAAGTTGAGATGTGCTTTGGTTCTTTGGTTTCTGTGGAAGAAAGAACTGAGAAGTAAGAGATTCTCACAGACGGCGCCACTGAACTTACCAGACCAGAATGAGATCAGCAGTTAGCAATACGTCATGAGCTCCTAGCTCGCCAAAGGTGATGAAGAGGAAGGGGTGTACCTGCAAGATACTCTAATGTCAAAGTAAGAAACGGAGTAAATAGAGAGCAAGTACAGAGTATAGAATAGAATATCTAACTCTCTAGTGAAAGAGAGTATTTATAATGTGCCTTTAGCACTGGACCAACGATTATTTTCCATTGGGTTAGATCACTAGGCTCAATACGAATAACTGCCAGGATCTACGTGACGTTGGGAAGACAAGCACGTGGTTTTCATCCTGGTCCAACCGCCCCGTGCTCTTCGGAAGGTGGGTAAACTGTTCTTTCAGACGCGGGTAGTTGTCTGATGATGTATCCCCGTGTGGAGAACACGTGATGGCCGTGAGAGAGACGTGTGAGAACTCCCCGAGTAAGATGATAAGTTGAACCTTCATTGGACCCTCCCCGATGTGGAGTTAGGTTGGGTCGTACCCGACAGTAAGACAACTTTTAATCCAGTCTAATACAAGAGGGATTAACATAAAATCGAGAAGTTCAACAACACAAACAAAATCTAAAATCTCAAACATTTCGGCATAAAACCCAAGAACATAAACATAAACCAAAAAAGCAGTACATTTTAGTTCCCAATAAATTCAATATGGAATCTCTATAACCACTTTGAACATAGAAATAATTAGTTTTTCATGTCCTCAGTCACACCCATTACCTTTTATTTCAAGTGACACTAAATGAAAAAAAATTAAAACAAAGGATCTCTTATTATAAGTGATTAAAGGGTGTTTTTTGGACTTCTAGTCTTTGTTATTCATAAATAAATAAGATGTGCAGAACAGAAATTTTTGGTAACTTAAATATTAAGACCTAATGTTTGATTCATGGTGTTTTTCTGGGTCTCCTAGTCTTTGAAATACTCATGATGCTTATTCTAAACAAATTATAGTCGACCGATTTCGTGTTATGGCAATCCTATGTATCGTCTTTGGTAATTTTTCAGTATCGCGCTAAAAAAGTGCCTTAGAGTTTAGAATTCAAGCAATGCGTGAGTTCTCTTCGGAGGATCTTCCCGGTCGGAGACCTTGGTATCTTGTTGGTGAAGAAAACTTTCCGAACCTTCTTGTATGGAGCAACCTACCAGAAAAAAAGGATTAAAATGTGAAAAGCATTCCAATAACAATAGAATATCATATAAGAGTCTTGTTTAACCTCTTTGGCGACGTAATCAATAACATGCTTCGGAGAAAGTAGACTTCCAACCTTCTTGACCACAAATGCCACTGGAATCTCCCCGATTTCTTCATCTTTGGCACTGATAAGGAAAATCATGTAACACCAAGACTATATTTAAATAGGATGGTTTTTAATGCATTGTCAGTGTTAATATACTTACGCTGTAACAGCAACATCAACTATTTCAGGATGCAATATTAACACAGCTTCTAAATCAGCAGGAGCAATCTGTAACAGATCACGCGTCATTCATACATGTTATATGTTTATAAGTACATGCAAGCAATTATAGTTCCGAATCAGATACCTGAAAACCCTTGTATTTGATAATGTCTTTCAAGCGATCAGACAAATGTAAATATCCATCTTGATCAAAATAAACAATATCTCCAGTACGTAGCCAACCATCTTTATTGATTGTTGACATTGTAGCTTCCTTGTTATTCAAGTATCCTGAGAAATAAAGGAAATATTTTGATTAATAATTTTAATTACTATTGGAATAGCAATTTGACAGGTGAAAAATGTACAAGTAAGCTGAGGAATAAGACAGAAACAAAAGTTATAGCAAACAGATTCAAGGCATTGAATCAATCTCATATATAAAAGTAGGGTAAGATTGTCTAAAATAGACAAGATCTTTATATTTATGATTGTGTTTCCCTTTTAATATTGTATCTATATCTATTCAGAATTATACAGAGTTTTTACCTTTCATAATCGAAGGTCCTCTCAACCAAAGCTCGCCGCTGCTGCCTGGGGGCAAAAAGGCACCATTGATCCAGTCTACAACTTTTGCCTCCATGTTTGGAGCTAACAATCCTATTGAAGAATAGTTGTGAAATTTTTCAGTATTGAAGCCTCGTGTTCCTACTGCGGTCGACTCGGTCATTCCATACCCCTAACAAAGAAACAATCTTACAGCTACAGATCCTTACTAAATCTAGGAGAGTAACATTAATATCATAAACAAATAAAGTTCCACATTGATGGTCAAGAATCTGTTGTGGATTTGAACATCAATGGCACAAAAAGAGTATCTATCAGTCGTTATTAAATTTTCAAAGCTCGCATGTTCTCTCATAAGTAAACGTAATCAGCATTTAACTACTTATAACAATAACAAAGAAAACTAACTCAAGCAATCATATAAGTGATGGAGCATTACTTGCATTCTGTAATTAAGGTTCTTTACCTGTATAAAATCAACATTAGGGAAAGCACGGACAAAACCATTAATAACTTCCATGCCCAAAGACGCTGCACCGCAGGAGACCTGTCTCAAACTCTGCAATTTACTTCCATTAACACCCTTTACCTTCATTGTCAACGCCGATAACATCGGTGGAACAACAGGAAAGTGTGTAACATTATATTTCACAATCACTTTAATAACCTCATCAATATCAAATTTCCTCATTACAACGATTGTAGAACCCAACGACAATAATCCAACAGCGAACAGCGATAAACCATATACATGGAACATTGGCAAAACAGCTAGATACACAGTCTTGGAACAAGAGTATTCATATTGAGAAGCTTCAAATCTCACAAAATGCTGAACCATAGAAATAAGATTTCTATGAGTTAAAACAACCCCTTTGCTCACACCTGTGGTCCCAGAAGAATACAATACACCAGCAGTATCTTCTTGCTTAACAATTGGCCTTTGAGGAAAATCAAAGTTACCATAAATAAGGCTAAAAAAACAAGAGAAACACTCATTCTTCAAATCCTTGTCATTCTCTGGCACAGCAATAATAGGAAAGGCTAATATCTCTAGTTTCTTAATATTTTCAGGTACAGTAAAAGCAAAACTCACACCACACTGATTAACCTGCTTCTGAATTTCAGAAACACTACTTAGAGGATTCAATGGTGTAAAAACAGCACCTAAGTAAAGAACAGCGAATAGTATAACAGGATAGTAAATTGAATTTGGAAGTAAAAGCAAAACAACATCACCTTGTTTAACACCCATTTTGTTCAAACCAGAAGCCACGGTTTTAACTAAAGGTAACAACTTTGAGTAAGAAATGGAAGACCCAGATGAGGAATCAGTAAGAGCCAGAACCCCATCATGAGAATGAGAAAAAAGGAAGGAAACAATGTCAATAAAAGGGTCGGTAGGAAGATTTATAGGAGAGTGAATACTATTGTAAATGCCAGTTTTTGATGAATACCAATGAGGGTAAGTGATGGTGTTCTGTGTCATGTCGACACAGTTAGAGAAATGCAAAATGTTGAATGAAACAGAAAATGGTGTAATGTATGTGTTTGGTTTTAGGATTGAGATTGTGTGATTGAAATGAAGAAAGTTGGCTTGAGAGTGAAGGTTTTGTGTTTGTGGAAATGTGAATATGAGAATTTGGAACGTAATAGCTACGTCTAAGGACCATAATAATTCATCATGTTGCAAATTTGGAATAATCGCATCCTCTATAAATAAAGGTTCTGTGAATATTTTAACTTTGAAATTGTTAAATATGTATATACTAGTACCATAATAGTAGAATTTATTGTTTCTTGAAATTAGAAAAAGTCAAAACTAGTTAATAAATGTTATAGTGGTCTATAATATATGCGATTTTTGAGTAAATATTAAATGCGTAATTTTAGTATTATTTAATTGAATTATTAAATGATTTATGATAAATGTGAAATATACGATAAATATTTATACTCAGTATTTAATGTGATGGAAAAGAAAACAAAAGGATTGGGGAAATTGTGTCGGTTAGTGATCCTATGAGTAGGGTTTAAATTTTCTGCACGCATTCGCCTCTCAAGTTGAGTCAGAAGCTTTTCTGCTCACTGCTCATGGAAGGAGAGAAAAGTTACACAAAACAAGATATATTAAAATTTGTGCGACTTGCATGTTACTTGGTCATTTAGAGTTAGAGTTGACATCGGCTTGAATCGGTTCGGATTCTAGTCCAAAAACCAAAACTGTTTTAGACTTTGGATGAAATATATAGGCTCAAATTTTCGATTTTCACGAATTCGAGTTAAATCGGATTTGGTTAATAAAATTAATTTCTTTTCGAATGATTGACCCATTTGAAAATTTAAACTCAATTTTAAAATTATTTAGATTTTTTATTTTTTTTATTTGAAACTGTTTGACATAAAAATCTAAAACACTAATTTTTTTCCGTTGTCGTCAGACCATATATATTTTATACCTAAAACACAATTAATTTTTACTCTTATTTTATAAATAACTGACTTTATTTTTATTTTATAATACATAAAAAATTGAGTTTTTTAGAGCAGTTTAATCTTTAAAAATTGAACTAATGTTACACTTTTTAATGAAATTGGATATTAAATTATCGAAATACAAAATTAAATTATCCTTACCTTAAGTTATCGCTCATGATAGGCTGAATTATTCGACAGGTGTATTGCACTTTGACTATCACATTTAACAGTGATAACTCGACCTTGAAGTTTCAGCTCCTTTGCAAAACCTTCAAGTCACGATGCTTCATTCACAGCTTCAGTTAGAGCGGTATATTCTGCTTCAGTCAATGACCTTCTAAAGTGTAGATTTTCAACTGACTGTTGTCCCAAACATAGTGAACACATATCCAGAAATAGATTTTCTGGAATCCATCCAACATGCATAATCAGAGGCGACATATCCTTTGATTGTTGCTTTACTATCTTCACCTAAAGCTCCACCGTAAATTAGGACTCTATCCAGAGACCCATTTATGTACCTTAGAATCCACTTCAATGCTTGCCAGTGAGCCTTTCCAGGATTCGCTGTGTACCTGCTTACAAGACTTACTGCGTATGCTATGTCGGGTCTAGTACAAACCATAACATACATCATAGAACCCATTTTATTAACATATGGAATGCTATTCATATAAGCTCTTTCGACATCAATACTGGGACACTGATCTATACTCAGCTTGAATTAAAGGTTTGTCGGAGTCACAACAGACTTTGAATTTGACATACCAAACTTTTCGAAAATCTTCCGTAGGTATGCCTCTTGAGTTAAGCATAATTTTGACTACTTTCTATCTCTTCAAATGTCAATACCAAGAATCCTAGACGCATCTCCCAGATCCATTATGTCGAACTCCTTATTGAGTTCATCCTTCACCCACATTACATCTTCGACATTGTTGCTTGCTATTAGAATATCATCCACATAAAGCAACAAAATAACAAATGAATTACCAGATCGAAATCTAAAGTAAACGAAGTGGTCGAACTGACTTTTAATGAAACTTATGTGTGTCATGAACTTGTCGAATCTCTTATTCCAGTGTTCAGGAGATTATTTCAGTCTATATAAAGATCTATTCAGCTTGCGCACATGATCTTCCTTCCCTTTTTTTGACATACCTTTCAAGTTGCCTCATAATGATTGTTTCATATAGATCACCATACAAGAATGCAGTCTTCACATCCATCTGTTCCAGTTCAAGGTCGAACTGGGCCACCGTGGCAAGCAAAATTCGAATTGATCTGTGCTTCACAACAGGAGAGAACACATCATTGAAGTTGACACCTTCTTTCTGAGTGAACCCCCTGGCGACCAATCTTGTCTTGTATCTCTTCGACGCCACTCTTTTGATCACTTCCTTAACTTTGTAAATCCATTTACAAGTGATTAACCTGGCTCCAGCAGGTTTCTTGATCAATTCTCAGGTGTTGTTATCATGAAGAGATTTCATCTCATCATTCATGGCCTTCAGGCATTCAGTCTTCTTTCGACTCCTCATAACTTCCTTCTAGTTTCTAGGTTCTTCGTCTAGAACCTCACTTGCAGAGATTAAGGCATAAGTTATACGATCTGCATACCCAGGTCTCTGAGGTGGCTTGATGACTCTCTTCGACCTATCTCTTGCTAGCAGGTAGTCATTATCAATCTTCTCATCTTCGACAACATCTTTTGCGTCTTCTTCAACTTCATCTAGGATACGTAATTCAGCATCAACATGCCCCACCTTAACATGAATCTCTCTTTGTTCCAGCTCTTTGCCAACATCATTAGTTTTTCTTGAAAGCCATCTTTACTTCATTGAAAACTACATCTCGACTGATGATACACCTCTTGTGACCTAACTCTAGGCACGATAGCCTATAAGCTTTGACTACTTCAGGATATCCCATGAACATGCATTTCAGAGCTCGAGGTTCGACCTTGTCTTTCCTAATATGAGCATAGGCCACATAGCCAAATACTCACAGTCTTTCGAGACTAGGTGGATGTCCTGACCAAACTTCTTCAAGTGTCTTCATTCCCAAGGCAGTCAAGGGATATCTATTTATCAAACAGGCTGTTGTCAAAACAACCTCCGCCCAAAACACCTTCTTCAATTCAGCACTAACCAACATGCATCTAACTCTTTCAAGGATTATTCGATTGAATCTCTCAGCTAAACCATTTTGTTGAGGATTACCTGCTACAGTGTTATGCCTTGCAATTCCATACTCAACACAGTAATTATCAAACGCTTTGTTGCAGAACTCAAGGCCATTGTCGGTTCTCAACCTCTTAACCTTTCTTCCAGTTTGAGTTTCGACCAGAACCTTCCAACTTTTGAAATTCTCAAAAGTTTCATCCTTCGTCTTCTAGATGAATACCCATAAATTTCTAGAATAATCATCAACGATGGATAGAAAATACCTTGTACCTGAGTGTGAAGGATTCCTTACAGACCCCCAAAGACTATCATGAATGTAATCCAGGGATCCATGTGTTCTTTGCTTGTCTTTGTTAAACTTCGCCCTACAGGATTTACCAAATACACAAGATTCACAAAACTCCAACTTTTCGACTTTGTCACCTTCTAGTAGGTTCTGCTTCCCCAATTCGACCAGGTCTCTTTCGATGACATGGCCAAATCTCATGTGTCGTGATTTTATCTTCGACATAGGTTTCGTGGATGCAACATTTGTCAAACCACTTACAACCTCAGCCTCAAGGGTATATGTCGCACCTCGAAAAATCACAGAGACATCTCGGAGAAACGACCCTCGCGCGAAAGGCGCGGAAATGTGGTTCAACAGAGTCGCCACCAAACTTTATTTTTCCTAAATAAACGGGAGAGGAAAATATCGAGAAAACCGCTTAAAACGAAAGGATAAGAACAGGGTTGTCGCAACCACGTTTTGGGTTCGGGAGTCGGTTACGCGAGGGGAAGGTATTAGCACCCCTCACGTCCGTTGTACTCAACGGGAACCTCTTAGGGTATTTTGTGGAGAGTGTTGTCTAGGTTTGCTTGTTTTTCTTCTCGATGCTAAAGGTAGAATTGGTAAGATAAAAGGTTAAATACGCTAAGGGGGAAAGGGGTGGTTAGAGGATAGGGTGCTCGCCAAGGATTGGGGCCCTTGTGCCTACGTATGCTCATCGGACGAGAATGAGAAATCAGAGCGTCGTAGTTCGACTACGGGAAAAGGTGAGAGAATGGTGGACGAAATAATGGAGAAAGATATAAGTGTGCTCGCCAAGATCATCGCAATCTTGTACCTACGTATCTTATATTCAAGAATGAATAAAGAATCAGAGCGTCCGTAGTTCGTGGTAACAACCATGAAAAGATGAGGTTGAATGGGTTGGAAGTTTGAGAAACAGACGAAAGAGTGACTGACAAGCAACCCAAGAGCGTGCCTCAAGAGCTTGTCATTCAAGAATTCAAGGAATGCGAGATCCCAAGAACTAAATTCTTTTGGAAATTGGGTTGAAAAGAGTTGGATGTTTTGAAATCGAAAGAATGAACTAATAACAACTCAAGGGTGTGCCTCGAGAGTTACTCGCTCGAATATTCAAAGAATGCTATATTCTAAGAATATCCCTCTTTCGTAAGTTTAAAAAAACATCTGTGAAAAGATTGAATCGAAAACGAAATGTGAGGCAAAAAGGAAGTTGTTTTGAAAAAGATTCGACGACGAGTCGAGGACTAGATTAAAGATGGAACCGACTTGACGACGTGTCAAGGGTTAGGTTGTGATAAACGATATTAGTCCCTAAGGGTGCCCCTAATATCGAGACCACGAGGAGTTGTGAATGTGTGTGCGAATGTCGATGGTTGCGAATGCGTATGAGCACTCGACTTAAGAGAATGTTTGAAAATGGTTTGGTTTGAAAAAAGTAGACAGACTAAATAAATAATAAATCAAGAGCGTGCCTCGAGAATTATTTACTCGGAGATTCAAGGAATGCTAGATTCCCAGAACCTCCTTCTTTCG